ATATGTATTTAGAACTAGGTACTGAGGATACAGTGATGAACAACAATAGCAAAAAATATATATATAATCTCTGCCCTTGTGGGCATTATATTCTGATTCAGGAGACAGACTTCAAACGAGTAATTGCAGGCACAAACACAGAGTTCCAAGCTGTAATAGGGATTCATAAGGAGAAACAGAGGCTTCTAACAGAGGGTATAACTGGGGGCCTAGTTTAACTGGGGAGTCAGAGAAAATCCTTGGAGTGACATTCACGATGGAGGATGAGTAGACATTAATCAGCGTATGGGATGGGATGGGATAGGTGGGGTTAGATTAGAGGAATAGAGGGTATGGGATGAATATCCCAGAGTGAGAAATAGCTTGGTGTGTTTGAGGACAGAAAGAAGAGCAGTGAGTCTGGTTCGGGCACAGGGAGTAGGAGGGAGTCCCATACCAGAGGCACCATAGCATGGGAGCCTCGCTGGTTACGGTAAACTATTTGGATAATGTCTCAAATGCAAAAGGGGACACTGAAGGGCCTTTAGCTGGCAAGTGGTCTGATCAATTTAGAGATTCAGAGAGTCCCTGCTGCTGTATGGAGACTGGGTTAAAGGAAGTAGGGGGACAAGGGTAGAGGTAGGGGGGACAGGGGCTCCCAGGGTGGTCCATAAAAGAGATGATGTTGTGGCTTAGGATAAGGTCAACGAGGAGTTAAAAAGTAGGTCATCTGAGCATTTTAGAAGTCAACTCGATAAGAATTGGTGAAAAATTTAACTTGAGAGTGAGGGGAAGGAAGCTCAGAAATGTCTCCTACATTTCTGACTTAAGAAACTTGTTGGATTGACAGCTTCCATCACTGAGAGCAGCAGGGGTTGGGGACAGAGGGGAGGACTGGGGGCCAGATGAAGTGTTCAGTTTGGAACAGGTTGAGGTAGTGGTGAGATGTCTAAGTGGAGATGTCAAGTAGGCAGCTGAGTACAAAGCTGTCAATTGCATGTATCTCATTTCTTCTGCAAATCCCGAGAGCCAGCAAGCTTCTCTACTGCTTTAGTCATCGCTAGTTATTTCACATCTAATAGGCATCTATGAAGTGATGCACGGTGACTTATATGTCTTTTCTTATTTAGGCTTGATATGCTGTGCAACGTTCTTCTCTAACTTCAGTTGAGTGAATTAGGAGTCAGAGAAGTTAAATATCTGAGATAATGCACAGATTTTGGAACTAGGTAAAATCTGCTAAAAATGGGTGAAACAAGGATTCAAACCCAGGGCTTATTCTGGTCGGATCTAAATCTTCTTATGCCATTTCTGCTGTGACCCTCCCTTCTTGCCCCCCTCACCTATCCTTCTTTCCTCCCTCCCTCTCTTCCTGCCTTCCTTCTGGCCTTCCTGCCTTCCTTCCTTCCATCTCTCCCTCTCAACTCATCTATCAATCTATCTGTCACCCATCTATCTCTAACATCATCTTAACTATCATCTATCATATGTCTTTATGTAATTTAGTTTTCTGTTTCATCTGTCTGTCTATGTATCTATCTATGTATCTATCTATGTGTGTATGTATCTATCTATCTATCTATCTATCTATCTATCTATCTATCTATCTATCTATCTATCTATCATCTATCTATCTAATCTATCCATCCATCCATCCATCTATCTCCCCAGGAATAAATATATCCCACCAAACTGAAGGACACTTAAAAGACCATTAATCTAGTCACTGTATGGATAAGGAAATTGACACTCAGTGGAGAAAAATTTCTAGCTCAGAGGCACTCGTGGCTGGTTAGAATCCCATTTCTTCTCACTGCATTTACTCCCACTTTACTTAAGCAACACTTCTCATCACTGTGGCTCCTTAGGGAACGGCTCTGCCAGAAGCTGAAAGAGAATACTGCCAGGCTTCTGGAGGAAGAGTTTGCATCTATTTCCAGCATTTCTCCCCCAGGATGTTTCAAAGTGTGGGGCTCCCCTTTGAAGTCCTGCAGAGTGAAGGTGTCAGCCGGCAGCCTCTTCCAAGAAACCCACAGCCAGTCTGCTACCACTCAGCGTGTCTCCCCTGCTGCAAGGGGCAAGGCAGAGAATGGGTTTATAACAGGGGACAAGATAATGATCAAAGGAGAACTTAGAGTGAGGGTTCCTGAAAATCCTGTGGGATGGAGTTAGAGGTGGGGAAGGAGGAAGCTGCCGGCCTCAAGGAAGCAGCTTCGGCATCTTGCCAGGAGTTAACTCTTTGGGAGCTGCTGCTCTGCACAGCTTCACAACAGGAGACAGGAAGCATCAGCCGGGAGGTATTGGAAGAACATTCTCTTCTGACAAGCCCTGCCCGCTCCTGACTCACCCCTGCCTTGAACTCACCCCAAACTCAATGATACGAAACGAAGAAAAAAGAAGCAAAGGGAAAGAAGATAAATCCACTGATCATTTTTATACTGAGTACTTTTAACCCAGGAGTCAAAGCCACAGTGATAAGCTCAATGGTTAGGCTTCTTGGCTGATTACACAGAGCGTGTTTACCAAGCACCAGCCAAGTGCCAGGCATCACTGGGGCACCATGTCCTACCCCACTGCCCACGCAGTGAGTTGTCGCTCCGGGACGTTGCTTCAGACATGTGAGCTCCCCTAGCCATTAGACCACCGATGCCTCTCTCACTGACTCTGGGCTCTTCCTTCGGTCTTGAAGCTGGGCAAGCGCAGACCTTGCAGGCCTAAAGAGCGCAGCCCAACACAGACCCAGTGTGCTAGGGATGAAAAGACAAAAGATCCCATTTCCTCCTTCAGAGAGATGACAGCCTATTGGGATGGAGACCATTGGGATTGGCACTATCTCCCGACTGGTGCCGTGATGAGAGGTGCATGTTGGAGGAACACAGATGAAAGCTCCCTAATCCAGAGTAGGCTTGCTGGGGTGCTCAAAGAGTACTTCCTGGAAGAGGTGCCATCCAAGTGAGTGGTGTGGAATGGGTGGAATTTAGCAAGCAAAGGAAATGGGAAAAAAGCATGTGCAAATGTAAGGGTTCTTGAGAGTTTATAGCCTGTTCAGGCAACTGCTGTTAGTCCAGCATGACTGGGGCACAGGACAAGCATTAAGGGAAGCGCTGAAAACCAGGAATGGGGCAGGGTGGTTCTGGGGCTGGTAGAATGTAGACCATAGGAGTTCTGATGACTTGCTTGGAGTTCGGGCTTATCCTATGCGACAGCATCTCTCTTCCCTCCTCCCTCCCTTTTGGTGATTATATATATTAGCAAACCTACTCCTCAACATCTCAGGTTGCCTGGACTTGATCTAAGGTCCATAGCTCTTTTTCCCATGTCTTCGCAAAACCACAGGTGTGAGCAGCATTCACATGAAGAGGCCATCTTTCCCTACCCTCCCGTGCCCTCCTTTCCCCCACCTGCCCACTCCTAGGGAGAACCTGCAGCTCACACAGATGCAGCTGTCCCTGTGCTATCAGCAGTGACACGCCACCATCCCCCTGTTTATTAGCATAGCTGCTCACGCCAAGCAAATGGCTTCCTCTCAGGAGCTGCACGTGAAACAGCCCAGAAACAGCATATTAAGACTCGAAAGATGCAATTTAAATTTCCTGTGGCTGTGGAGATGCCGGTGACATGGTGATTACATATGTCGAGCAAGTGCGGTGCAGCAGGGTGCTCTGTAATTGAGGACCCCAGGCAGTGGGCAGTAGATGGAGGCGAAGCCCCGGCAAAAGCAGCGTGCACGGCTGGCCCGGGGTTCTGTGCCGCAGGTGCGTGGCACCTGTCCCAGGAGACATTCTTTTCAGAGGGAGAAGGGGCCGAGCCAGCAGTGAGTCCAGAGAGGTTGTTGCTGCTGATGAGGAAGATTAGGCTCAGAGAGAAATTTTGACAAAGAGTCACGGTCACTCTGCTACTTAGTGCCACAGTCAGAACTAGAATTCAAGACACTTAAATGCAAGTCCAGATCCCTCTCATTTGTTCATGGAGCATATTTTGAATATCTGCGAAGTTCAGGCTCTGTGCAAGGTAACTGGCATGAGAGTAAGAAAAAGAAATCTTCCATCCAGGGGTTTATAGTCTGACTGTATCCTAGAAGCATCCTGGTATTTAATTAAAAATACCAAAGCCTGGCCCCGGCTCCAGCATTTCTGATTTAGTGGGTCTTTGGAGGAGCCCAGGTACCAGTGATTTTTAAAGCTCCCCACGGTGTAGCACTGAACTGACCTAGAGCTGAGCTGTCCATCATGAGGTCACGGAGCACTTAACACTGTGGGTCATCTACAGTGTGATGTGACTTGAGACTTAGTATGAGCAAAATAACTGAACATATCTCCAGGAAAACTTTTTCTACCGGTTCTGTGTTGACCACGTAATAGTTTGGGTATGTTGACTTAATAAAATATATTAAATATATTATTAAAATTACTTCACCTATTTCTTTTTGCTCTTTGAAAATGTGGCTACTAGAAAATTAAAAATATATGTGAAGCTCACATGGAAATTCTATTGAACAGTGCTCTTCTAGAGGAAAATGAAAAGACATTTACATCTTTCTCCCATGTCTGTACAATCTCTGTCTCTGGTTCACACGTAGAAGAACACAAAGCAGTGCAAAGAGGGTGGTTCCAGTCATACCCTGGGCAGTATGTACGACAGTGGCACAAAGAATATTTGCCCTCCAGTTACACTACCTGGGTCCTAATCCCAGCTTCAACAGTTACTTGTTGGATGACCTTGGATGAGTTAACTCTCTGTGCCTCTATTTCTCCACCTATAAAACGGGAGAATGAAGCTGTTTGAGGTTTCGTTGAGATAAAGTTAGCTGTTATTTTTCTTCCCTCTCTGTGTCTCTTCTGTTGAGATTTGGTTCTGTGACCATCTGCCATTGAACTCAAACCTTCCCTTGGTCACTTCCAAAATGCATGATTGCTCCCAAGTAATGCAACCCACAAGTTATCAATCCATTTCGTGGTTCATTGTCATGACTCATAAAATCTAGCCCCTTCCCCTTCTGACTGCTTTTTTTTAATTTCCAGGGAAAAGAGAAGTTAGATGAATAGAAGATGAATCACTGCCCCAGGTGAAGCAGAGATGCCATCTTTGGTTCCTTCCTCCTCAGTTCTTTGCCAACTTCAATGACACTTTGAGTTGGGGAGATTACCAGTGGAAGCCAAACCAAAGTGTTCAGGCAGATTTCTTCCTGAATAAGTTTCATTGACTTGTCACTCTTTGGTGGCAGGGATGTCTGGATAACAACATAGCACTGGGCTGAACAGGTAAGTCATTGACCATCTTAGGATGAGGTTTCTTCCACCTTTATGCTGAGGAGCTCAAAGTAGAAGGTAGTCCAGTCCCTTCAAGAGCCCGCACCGGCCACTTTGCTCCACGCTAAAAGAAGTCTTGATGCCAGCCCTGTCCTCCCAATATTGTCACTTTCTTTAGGAAATCTAAGAATTACAAACAGACATTCTGGTGGGAGTGGGCAGTAGGGATGTGAAGGAATTATTATCTCATCAATATCTTTCTTCAGAAGTTCCAGCCAGGAAGTGGGAGGAAGGGGAAGGAGCTTGGAGAGAACTCTCTCTGAGTGCTTTTGGTGGAAGAGGGCATGTTCTGTCTTGTGAATGATGTGTTCAGCATATTCAGAGCTAGTGAGTGCTGGACACCCAGAAGTAAATAATCCACCTTTGAGGATCAGTGGAGCCGTTTAAGGGAAGTCCCATGGCCACTTTGCCAGCTGTGCTATGGCTAGAGAAGTCTAGAAGAGATGCATTTGAGAGGTGAGTCTAAATACGTGAACATAGGAAAATCACTCATTTCAGCCTCCCTTTTCTTATCTGTAAAATGGGAGCAATCACCTTAGTTTATAGGGCTCTTGTAAAGTTTAGATGAGAAAATAAGCATAAAGGTATCCAGTTAAAGGTTAAAGTGAGTGCTGTAAACACAAGTGCGCTGATAATTCTGAGCAGGCAGAGAGGTTCATGCAATGGGGAGTCAGAGATTCTGGCAGAGAAGGTAGGCTAGATGCAATGAATTTATTGCATTTTTGCTGATTTTTAGGTTTTTATCTTAACAGTACAATAGTAATTCATGCTCGCTGTGAAAAATTCGGAGGGAAAACATAAAAAAGAAAATTGAACTAATTTCTAAGTTTATCACTCAGAACCAATGCTTGTCAACATTTTGGGGAAATCTTTACCACCTGTAATTTAGTTTGGTGGAAGAGAAGAGAAAGAAATTTTTGTCATTTAGTATTACTTGAACACAGAAGCTTGGCAAGGAGAATGTTTGCGACAGGGTGAGAAAACGTGGCAGAAGATAAAGTTGGAGACAGATCAGATGGGTTCCGTACGCAAAGGTAACAAGAGATTTTCCTTCTTTATTATTTTTTTCAAAGGAAAATCATAAAGCTTTAACTTCGTGGGTCCTCTTCCTGCTCTTGCACTTCTGACCTTTCTCGGTCCTCTCAAACATACTGACACGATTCGCCGTGGGAAAGACAGGCTCTTTCCTCCCCAAGAGAACAGAGCTCTTGGACTCTTCCCTTCCTTGTGGAATTGTGCTGGAGTGAGTAGTCATCTCCCATAAAACGAACCGTGGGTCTGTGCTGGATTCTTGTGTGGGTCGTCCATTGTGCTTTTAATGACTGGAACACACTGGCACCTTTGGGTCCTGAATCCTGCCATGTGTACAAGTATCTTCTAGAGTGACATTTCTGGCTGTTGGCTTTCTGGAACTGGGGCGTTCTCCCCCACTCATGCATCTTTTATAATACGCTTTGTTGTATGTGACGTATGGCTGAGAAATCAGTAGTTTTAGATACATTTTGATTCCAAAGGTAAGGTAAGGTGATGGAGCAGGAGAGAAAGGGCTGTGTATGTGTGTGTGAGAGAGAGAGAGAGAGAGATAAAGAGAAAGGTTGAATAAGCAATAAACAGAGAAGCATGGGGGATGGAGAGAGAGAAACAGAAAGAAAATCAGAGATGTGTCCTAAGGAATGGATAGGGGAAAGGCAGAAGAGGGAGGGAGAGAGGATGGGAGGCAGAAAAGGATGCTTGAGTGACAGAGTGAGTGCAGGGGAGATAGAGACAGTCATTACTACTTAATGATTAGTACAGGATTTAAATGAAATATTCATGAAAGGAAATTGGAGCTGTAGACAAATCCAAACGCCGCTTCCCCAATCCCCACCTCCCCCGCCTACTCAAAGGAGAGTTCTTCGGGGATTCATGCCCTCTATTGTCATTACCTGGGAACAACTGATGGATGTCATGTGAGGGGAAGCTTGTTCCTTTGATGGTATTTGGCTCCATTAAAAAAGACATCTGCTGACCCGCTCGGGCTATTGGTGAGCACCTGCGGGAGCGAGGCACTTCAGGGCACGCTCTTGGCACCTTGGAGGCGATCCATATGGCTTCTGCCTTCCTGCGAACTCGGTCTGTGGTCAGAGGATCCAAGTGTTTCCTGAACCAGGATCCTCCACTCTTGCAGGTGACAGGGGAGACGTCCTCTAGGGTGCTGCCCTGTGGACATGCCTGCAAAGCCCAGCGCAGGTAAGTAACAGAGGCTCAGTACATCCTGGTGCACTGCCATTTACCATCGGACCAGCCCAGCGCAAACAAGACAGGCGTCTTGTTATGGAAAGTCGCCTCCACTCTCCACGCCTCCGCTTTCTCTTTGATGCATGTGCACCAGCGCCCAGCCTGCTGGCGGTGCTGCCCGTGGGGGCCTGTCAGAGCGACCCGAGAGTGCTCTCCCGGGGCTTGGCGTGGGACGGAGGACTGTGCTCTCCCCTTCATTTCCTCCCAGCTCCCTCTCTCCCTTGTCTCTCATCATCAGAGGATGAAACTCACGTCACTACTAGCTCTTGTTCCCTGGGGAGCGATGCCCAAGCTGGTGACTAGGAAGGAGGACCCTTGACTGCCCGCCCCCTGCACCTGCAGCAGGTGATGCAGCAGGGAGACATCTGCCCTTGGGGACCTCGTGTATGTGCTCTGCTCTTCGCATCCCCTCCACCCCAACAGCAGCCTCCCTGAGGACCTCTTTGTTTTCATGCTGAGGTTATATATAGGCTAAATTATTGCTTTTGCCTGATTTTTAAAGTAGCACATTTCCATAGTCCAGAGGAGCTCGGAGGTCACTCCTTTTACCATAAAAATAACGTGAGCTGTCAATTTCCCGTTATGATGATGTCCTAAATGGTCCGCTTACCTTCTGACTTTCCTTACATAATCTTTGGATCTCTGTTAACTTTGTTTAAAATGGAGATGATACTATTTATTTCCATAGGGCCATTTGAGGACCAAAGGAGGGCTTTCTAAAGTGTCAAATCTATTCAAATGTTAAATATTGTTGTGCCTGTGTGTTCAATCCTGCCCTAGTCTGAAAGCTCTGGGAAGATAGGAAACACCTTTGTCTTTTCACAGCTGCGTACCCAGGGCCTGTGCAAAATGCCAGGCACATAAAAGATGTTCAGTTAATGTTTTCTGAACAAGTGACTGACCTCAGCTCCTCCGAGGCTCATCTTTACTGCCCCATATCTATTCGCATCTCTTTTTAAAAAAAAAAAATTTTAGAGCTTGTAGCTGCTGACAGCCCCACTCCTGTCCCCTCAACTCACCACTCCCAGTCCCCACCCTAGATTCTGGGATGGAGTCCACGAATAGTTCAGAGGACAACTTGCCCAGCCAGCGCTGGACCCCAGGACTCGCAGGAGGCAAATGCAGTGAGACTGGACCACAGAGGCTGAGTTAACACAAACGGAACAGCTGTGCTGCCTTCAGGCCTGGGAGGGACTCCAAGTTCAGTGGAAAGGTAACAACACAGTGGCCTGAAAATAGCCCTGTATCTACAGAGAGCTGCGTGCGTGGCAGGCCAAGGATGGCTGGACCTCCTTGGCTGGGCAAGGATGCTTGAGTTTCTAGGCAAAAGCTCAGTTCAATCACTGTTGGCCCATCTTACAAACAGGAGCTGTTTACATTTCCACGTTACCTTATTTGTTCCACCAACCAGCACGTGTATTTCTGTTTAAAGGGCCAGGCCTGACTTTCTATAGGTTTTGAGCAGAGTTGATTAATGAAATGATTAATTGCAGGAGAAAATACCCACCCCCCTTTCCCTGTATCACCTCTTCTCTCCAGCCCTTAACACTCTCAAACATGCCACCCGTTTTCCTCACTTATCTTGGTTCTGACATGTAAGCTCCATGGGAGCAGAAATATTTTTCCTATTTTTTATTTTTGTGTTTCTTCTCCTGTGTACCTGGCATGTGTCAAGCATGCACGAATTATTGTTCGTTTATTTAGCTAAACAACCAATTTCCTGTGTAAGTGGTGCCTATTCCTTTCCGTAAAACAAGACCAAAAATATATGTAAATGCATTTTCTGTGTGTGATAGAAATGCCTTAGACCCTGAGTTCTGAAACAGAGCTTAAATAACCATAGGTAAGGTTTTTAGTACTTATTTCACTTTGCCTTGAGGGCTTTATTGAATTTACTCATTTAACCTTCGTAATAAGCTTTTTCTGTAGATGAAGGAAATGAAGCACAGAGAGGGTGAGTTATTTGCCCAAAGCCACACACTAATTAAGGTACGGATCCAACATTTGAACCCAGGCGATCTGGTCTCAGAGCCTGAGGGCTTAACCATTATACTCTGCTGTTTCTGAACATGAATTAGGTGGTTTGCAAAGAGTCAGCGTCTCCACTGTGAAGGCCACGTCTTCCATCACAGTGACCCCGTAACCCTGAGGTGGGAGTTCCTGCCGCCCAGACCCCAGGGCAGTGGAGTTATCTAGCTGACATTCCTTCTCCTTCACTGCCAGCTGTTACGAGGGGATGTTATCAAGACTTTCTTCTGAAGTCCTACCGCAGAGATGCTTCTGGTCTGCTGCATCCCAGCGCAAACCAGATTACAAAGACCTTGTTTTATGTCCCAAGGGGATTAACCTTCTAAATCCTACTGGCAAGCTCCTGGAGAGCTCTGCAAATTGTAGAGCAAGCAACACCCTCTGAAGTGTGACCTCTCTCCAGACTGAAGCTGTTGAGAAGACCTTCTCTACAGCCTCTGAGGACGGAGGTGCCCTGGTGTCGGGGGGCGAGTGGCCGCACCAAGCACTGACATCTGTGTTGCTCGTGGCTCTTTATCCTGCAGCTGAGATTGTTTTCATGTGCGCCTGGCTAACATTAACTGTGTGTGTGTGTGTGTGTGTGTGTGTGTGTGTGTGTGTGTGTGTGTGGTCTTAATCATCATTGCTCTTCTATTGTCATTGTGCTCCAAAAGGGAAGCGATAGGCAAAATCAAATCAGGGTGATAGTTGTGTCTCAGTCATGAGGCACAAAGCCCTGCCCTCCCCTTTGCTGAACCAGGAGAGAATTCTCATCCTGGAGACACACCGGGTGCTAAGCATTCTGTAAATATGAATTGTTCTGTACTGAGGCGCTGATGTCGATGCTGAAGCTCTCACTATAGTGTGTCAACATGAATTAAAGGTAATAATGTGCATGGGCTTTGTGATAGCCTAGAAGCTTTTGCCCTTGCATCTGAGTTTATGGTGGAAGTGGTAGAAGCCTTACTCTCTGTATAGACGATGCAAGTTTATATGAGCCAGCTCACTGTCTCGACCTTACAAACGAAGTCCATTGCAACTGCATGCAATCCAGGTCAAAATATTGACAAGTATGGGAAGACACTCAGTGATCATCAATATTTTTATTAGAACCAAAGATCCATCCTATAGGTAACATTTTAACATTTATTTCATATTGGGTAAGTGCTTCATTGGATTAACTCATTTAATCCTCAAAAGAGGAATGTGAAGCATGGAAATAAAGAATGTGGAAAGCCTTTTTTAAAAAACACCTTTATTGTAGTATGAGTCCTGTACAGTAAACTACACATATTTCAGATGTAGGATTTGAAGAATTTTGATGCATGGAACCACCACCACAGTCAAGATAGCTAACATTTCCGTCACTCCCCAAGAGGTGCAAATTGTGGAAAGCCTTTTAGACAAACTACGTCTTCACTCCATCCTGGGGAAGCCAGCCTTGGGGAAACCTGTAAGTACTCCCTTTGACTAAAATTCTCACACCTAATTCCTGCTTTCAAACCTCTTAACTCATGAAATACGGCTTCCTCCATGCAGTAGTTCTCATTTCTCCTGAGACATGAGTTTTTCCCCTCATCGATGTCCCAAAGCCACCTGGCTGTAATCCTCTGTGCATTGGTCCTATTCTGCCAGGCACCGTGGTTTTCTGAGGATGCGTGACATGCTGTGAGCAAGAGACCTGGAGTCAGATGACATCGGGTTGACTTTTCCCAGGCTGGCTAGTGGTTTGTCCCTGGAAACATAGTTTACAAAGCTTGTTACTTTGTTTGTAAACAGAGCGCTGTGAGTGGTGGGCTGAGATCATCTTTGTAAGCTTTATGACACCTTGACTGCCTGGGAGCCAGCGGTCTTGCTTGATGTGAATCGAAGGGATATTTTTAGGAGACAACCAGATGTCTTCTCAGTAGCCAAATAACTCTGGAACATCCCAAGATGTTTCAGATCTTGGAACACTTTGTTTCATCCTTCCCCCAGACTCGGAAGCAGGCTAGTCAGACCCTTAATTGGTGCTGAGTTCTTTGAAGTCAAAGAGGAATCATGCATCTTTTTCATAGCTAAGGGGAGATAAGACTGATGGAAGTGCTTTTGTCAGTAAAGAGAAACTACTCTTTTTTTGTTTTATATCTACCTTAACATGACAAAATCCTTGATTATGAGGTCAGAAAGCTCCAAGTCAGAGACGCAAGTGGCATGCTCTACACGGGGCAGAACGACTACCCTTGGCCAAGTTCAGTTCTCAAACGCAGACATGCTTGGTGGTTCTGCACTTCTAGAAGGAAGGCTGCCTTTGCAAGGTGACAGAATAATTTCCATGGCAACAGACTGTCTGGTGTCAGAACAGAAATGAAAGCTTCACATGCCAAGTCTGTATTTATGTGATGCTTACCACACTGCCTCCTACAACGCAGAGGGCTTGATCTCTCAGCAGGCAACGATGCCAACGTAGAAACCGTGCCAGTTCTATCAGTATTTCCGCATCTTAAGGTTGAGTGTGCTATTTTTGTCCTGTAAAGGTTTTGGTCATCTGAACAGAGCTGTCAGAGTCCTTGTAAACAGATCTCGCTGGACCTTCAGAGGGTGACCCGAGGGATGATGAAGGAGACAGCTAGGGCTTGGGTCTTGATCTCCTAAGGAATATGGCATTGTCACCACCTTGCTGCAGGATGAAGGGAGTGAGAAAGTGCAGTCAGAGGACCTGGATGGAGCCTTGACTCCAGGAGGCTGGCTATGCAGCGTGGGCCTGAGCAGAGGGGCTGTTCCCCTGAGCCCTCTGCTCCCTGTTACTACAAGCATCTTCCTGCGGTTGCTAACCTCCGCCCTCACCCTTGGGTCCTAACCTTTGATGCTTCCCAAGACTTTTTCACCATGACCTGTGCATCAGAGACCTCAAACAGAAGACTCTGCTTTTGTCTCCTTTCCTGACGTCAGGCTTCTCCACAAACCACCAGGCCCTATCATGCTGCTCTGTAGGACCTAGCCCGTTCTGACTCTTCCTGTCTGTGCAACCACAGGCCAAATGCGTCGGGGGAAGGCCAGCCACACCTGCCTCATGCTGTACCTCGTACACTGGGTGTCAAGCCGTGTCTCCGAAAGTCCGAACTTTGTAGCAGTTAGTCAGCAAGATGCCCACAGGGAACAGGTAGATGAGCATTTTTTAAAGTGAGTTAGTCGTGATTAAAATATCCTTCACTTGCCTGTAACAGTGGCTGCACGTATCTGTGAATATACTTAAAAAAATACTGTTTTCGTTTTTTTCTTTTGGCAATGAGCATCAGAAAGGAGGCTGGTGAGACAGAGCCTAGGAAGGGAGGTGGGGAGTGGACCCGAGTCATGTTAGGTGTGCGGAGTTCAGGGCAAGAGGCTTGGGTTTTGTCCCAAGTGAGAAGAGAAGCCATTGGAGGGCTCTGAGTTGGCATGGAGTCATTTGTGTATTGAAAGGTTTACTCAGTCGGGCTGCTGCCTGCAAACGGTCTACAGAGGAGCACGGGTGGGAAGAATAAAGTCAGGGAGCGGACAGCAGCTGCCATCCAGGGAAGCGTCTGTGAAGCCGGGGCCAGGATGGTGGTGGTGAAAGGGAGAGACGTGAAAATGGATAATGATAACTGAGGGAGGATAAAGGTGGCAACAAAAATGTGAATGAACTCCTGGAGAGGACACAAGAGCAAGAGGAAGAGAGAGATCGGATGTCTCTCTGCAACGGGGAGGCCACAGAGTGTATGGAGAGGAGAAACATGGCTGGCTCATCCGACTAGACTCCTTTCTCACGAGATTTTCCAGCCGGTGGTTTAAGGGTTTAAGGGTTTCTTTTAGGGAAAGACCATTGTTTTGTTCCTATAAAGAGGGTTAATAGACTGTAACACCAGCCTAATTTCCTCACCCATTTCTTTAGTTTAATATTTACTCAAGGTTAGCATTTATCATGTATCTCAGTGTAGGCTGAGGTATAGGGTGAGGCCATTGGGAAAAAAAAAAATCCCTGAATGTAAAGTTTCAATAGTTTAAACCTTGCATGAAAAAACAAGCCGGTCTTTCATAGCGTATCTTGGGGAAAGACAATAAAAAGTCCCCAGGCCTTCCTGGGCCTCTGATTATTACTTGCCTTCCATTTGGGGGAAATTCAGAGTACGAATCACAACCGTGTGATAACGACAACTCCTGTTTATTGAGCACCCACTGAGTGCTAGGATTTTTAGGTTATATTAGGTTTAATCACCATTAAAGTCCTACAGGTGGGTGTCCCTGCCCTCAACTAACAGATAAGGACAAAGTGGCTCAGTTTGGTGAAGTAACACATCCAAGATCACACAGATGTTGTATGAGTTCCCCAGGGTTGCTGTGATAAATTACCACAAACTGGGTGACTTAAAACCGTATGAATTTATTCTCTCAGAGTTCTGGAGGTCAGAAGCCCCAAATCGAGGTGCCAGGTGGGCTACATTTGCTCTGGAGGGTCTTCCAGCCTCTGCTGACTCCAGGGTTTGCTTTGGCCGCAGAACTCGAGTCTCTGCTTGTGTCTTCTTTTCTTTCTGTGACTCCTCTCTGTGTCTCTTCTAAGGACACCTGTCAGTGGATGTAAGGCCCATCTAGGCGGCCCATGAGGATCTCATCTGGATATTCTTAGTTACATCTACAAAGATCCCTTTTCCAGATAAGGTCACATTCACAGATAAGTGAATTAACATTTTTCTGGGAACATATTTTTTCCTGGGGTGAGGGGGCACCATTGAACCCTTTACAGCTGGTTACTTGTAAGTGTCAAGGCCTTCCCCTATACTACAGAGCCTTTTTCACACTAAATTTGCATCATAAAAGAAATAGATGTGCTTTTATAGCCTCAATCATTATTATAGTCCATTTTCACTGACTCTGGCCAAAGAGCCAAAGTTCTTTTTTTTTAATCTAAAATAAACTTAGCAGCATAATACAGTAAAAGTTACTAATAATAGGTTTCACAAGGTGGGGAAGCCTTTAAAACGATGACAGGTATTTTAAGAACATTCTGGTGTTAAAAGATGCCGGTCTTGCTAACTCTAATTATAAAGGAGGGTAAACAATGTCAGAATACATCTTGGGAGTTTTCAATGCAATAAAAAGTAAGCGTTAACAACTAAATAGCACCTGACATTTGGACAGATTGATGGTACAGTTTTTCTTTCCTTTTTTTTTTTTCCCGATGTTAATTAAAAGTTAGTCATACCATTAGAATGTTAGGCCAAATTTTTAATCCTTAACAGCTTCCCAGCCTCTCCCCTCATTCATGTTAAATCTTAAATCTAAAGAAAACCTACAGCCAGTGGGTCTGTGCATCACAGAGTGAGGGAGAATGCAAATGAGTCACTTTCTAACGAGGTGGGGGCAGCCGAGCAAACCAGATGTTCTTGGTTGAGGGGAATTCCAGGCAGTCCACGGCATCAAGCTAGCAGGATCACTTTGTCTGTAGTTTCAGGGGTAATCTTAGGATGGTTGATTAGCTGGCCATTAGTTGCTTGCTCTGCAGGGCTTCCCTCTCTCTCAGGAATGTGAATGGGTCTGTCCTGGATGATGGATGAGGCTGCAGTTTCCAGGCAAGGAAGGAAGAACTACCCTCCTCCCCTCCCTTCCATGGCAAGGCTGTTGGCACCCCCAGCTCCCAGGTAATGTTGGAAAGAGAAAGGAAGAGAAGGCACTGAGCACAGCTAAGAGGAACCAGAACTCTTCACCCGAGTGACCTCCGAACTCGATGGTCTAAATATGGTCCTAATGGGAAAAAAATACATGCGTGTGTGTGTATATATACACATACATACACAGATAGACAGATATGACATGTATTGTCATAAAACTTGTTAGAGGACAAGAGGATATTTGGAAAATGTGGAAAAATAAACTAGAAAGAAATATGATTCTTTGACCAATATTACAGTATACTTTTTAAAATGTAACATTATAATCATCTTTTTAAAAATTATGTTGCAGAATCCTAAGATACCATTTAAGCTGCTCTCCACAATTCTGCAGAGGAGTTTTGCTACAGTTTAACCTACTTCAGCATGGTGTGTTGGTTTTCTGCATTGCTTGCTCTTTGTTCTTTAAAGTAATGCTGGCAAGATCATCTTTGTCCCTAAAGCCTTAAAAAAAATCTGTCTATCTATCTATCTATCTATCTATCTATCTATCTATCTATCATCTCTATCATGGAGGATGAATGTTGCCTGCCATATCAGTAAACAATGGATGCTTCGTGCATTAAGTCAACAGCCACTGCAGCTGCCCCCAGCCGTGCACCCTGAGGGGATTCAGGACTGAGAAAAACAAGATATGGGCCCTAGATAGATAAGGTGCATATCAAAGGAATGATTTCAATGAGCCCAGACTTCTGCATCTTTCCTTAGTTGGAAAAGCGCTAAATCTTTAAACTTGAGATTATCTGGTTTTCTTTAATTAACAGTAATCTTTTGATGCTCTGACTAC